CACAGAGGCTGGAGAGAGAAGGCTCGGGAACCTGTGTCAGATTGCCGGAAATTGTCTCTTTTCCTACTCTGGAGTCCTGTGCCCCAGCCCAACAGTATTCGCCATTATGCCTGCCAGTCATGTTTGCAGCCACCCCTTAGGTGAGGAGCATGGGGAGTGCATCGTACATCATGTATTTTTCCAACACTGCATCTGTCCATCTTGGAGCAGGGCTCCTTGGTACCCAGGAGAGTCCCCACGATTCTGGTCCAGGGCATGGCAGTCAGAGTGGAGGAGGAGAGGATTGATTGGAGCAGAGCTGAATCTAGGGTGTGAACCTTAGGCACCACAGGGAGGGGTAATGTGTCCGGAAGACACACAGCGAGGTGCCCCTCCCCACACCTGGAGACTGTCCCAGGCTCTGCACCTGCCCTCCATTCCATGCAAATCTGCTGCAGCCTCAAGGAGAAACAGCTGGGTGGAAGCGGCCCTTCCTTCCTGCTTTGGGCCTCAGGGGCAGATGGGATGGGAGGGCCCGGAGCCCTTGGACAGAAAGCCCCCAGATAAGACATCAAAGTGCTTTACAGGCAAATCTGGCCCTTACATAACAGCTGTCCTTGATCCAGAACCTTGGTGTGGTGTGGGAGGTGGGGGATGTCTGGCTACCAAAAAAGTTAGTGCTTCAACCCACAGGGTGAACACAGACCCCGAGACCACGTTCCTGTCCCCTCAAAGAGAGCAGTGGCCTGGACGGCTTGTGATCTTGTGGTTGTTCGGGAAAGTGTTTCTTCTCTTCGTCTGCCAGGGCACCCTGCAGGAGGACAAGACCTTCTCTCTCCTAGTCGTCCGCTGGACGCTGGTTTCGGAAGAGCCGGGGCTCTCGAGGCATTCTCGCTCCCTCCCTCCCTCCACATCCAGCAGCCGGGAGCAGACGCGGCTGATCCCCGCCTCTCCGGTGCCGGCCGAGCCCTAGGAGGCAGCCCTGGCCTGTCGGTTCGAGTTGAGCTGTTGGCACCACTCTCAGAAGCACAGTCGGGCTTTGAAGGGGCCACTTGAGATGAAGAATGGGCTTGTAAACTGCGAGGCCCCACACGGTGGCCAGGGTCCTCATGACAGTCAAGGAATTCTGCAGCGGCCCCACGCGGACCCTGATGGCAACCGCCCTGCCGGCTCTCCGGAGAACTCAAGCGATGCCCATGCCAAAGGCAGAGGGGCTGGGGCCTCAGACAATCTGACCTTTCCCACGAGACAGCTGGGAGGGACAGTCAGGCGAAGCACATCACCGGAGAGAAACTCAGCGGCCTCCAGGGCGGGTGGTGCCCATGCAGGGGCCCCTCCATGGACTGGGACAGAGGCCCTGGGCGCGCCCACTGGGGCAGCTGTCTTGGCACCCACTGCAGTCACCTGACACCCTAAAGGCCACTTCCCTCGCTCAGCACATCTCCTAAACAGAGGCAGAAACCTCTTGTAGAAAGCAGAGTTTCCAGGGATGTGCCTCCCCTAGGCCAGCGGCAGTAAACATGCCCACGTACCACAGGTAAAATATATTATTGCAATATTATCAACACTATATACATGAGAGCCGGGCACGCCTTCTGTGTTGCTTACTAATTACATGGAAGCTGAACATCGTCCTGTCCAAGGCCTGGTGGCCACTCGCTGGGAGCCCCTGGAGGGATCAGCAAGACGATCTTCCAAGAACAACCTGGAGGTTTCTGGCCTGTAAGGGGGCGTCCCGAGCAGCAGCTCATTCTGTCCAGACAATCTGCAGCCATGGAGATGGGAGCCGCCAGGGGTGAGCCTTGCCGGGCTCTTCAGGATGACCGGGTTGGCGGTGTTTCCCTTGAAGGGGAGGGCAGTGGACGGTGTCACCTGGAGCTAGCCGTGACCTGCAGAGTCCTGGCAGGCCTGGGCCCCTGCTCTCTCAATAAAAGGTGGACAATAAATAAGGATGTGACAGGCGCAAGGCCGTTTCCCCAGGGGCTGGGGCTTCTGCTCCGCAGGAGGAGCCGGTGGGTGGGCCAAATGCACGGACAGAAGGTGGGGCTTCGGGCCTCGCCCCCTCCCCAGCGCAGTCGTGTAACAGCAGGTGTGAGATGGGCAAGGTGGGTCTGCGGGTTCTGGGGCCAGGGCCTGTGGCTCTCCCGGGGAGGAAGGCACTGAGGGCCGCTGCTGAGAGCAGGGCTCAGATCTCCATGAGCGTGATCTTGAAGCCTTCCACCATGCTCTCCATGTTGAGGATGAAGGTGTCCTCATTCGAGTAGTGCTCAATGATGTTGTCGTCCATGTTCACCAGGATGCTGCCGGGGTCAGGTGGGGAAGGAAACAGAGATGCAGTGACCCAGGTGCTCGGGGCAGGGGAGAGGAGACAGGCAGGGAGAGAAGCCATCACTGTATTTCTCTCTCCCCAGAAACCAGTTTGAGGAAAGCAAAGGCTGGATTTCTCAGAACCAGCTCCTGATGAAACAAGATTGCAGAGACCTTTCAACCCAAAACTTTCGCTTTCTCGATCGGGACTGAGAGAAGTTAACAGAACCTGAAATCACAGAGTTGGCTATTGACAGGGCCAGGACCTAAAGAGTCAGTTCCCCTAACTCTTCATTAAACTATACTCCCTCTTGAAAATACATTTAAAATACATTTAGGAGGAAAAAGAAAATAAACAAGAGCTGCAGCTACCCTTTGTGGAGCACGTGGCGTGCTCCAGTGTCCCCGAGACCTCGCGTTCCATCCTCATGGCAACCCTGAAGGCAGGCACAGTCCTCATGTCGCACATGAGAAGCCTGAGTTCAGCGAGCTTCCAGCCTGTCCCCAAGTCCATTCAGCTAGTTTACAGCTGAGCTGGCTTTTGGAACTAGCTTTGCCTCGCTCTGAAGTTCATACTTTACCACACATGACCTACTCCTTGGTCATCCATCCCTGGTGGGTTTAGTTTTTAGGAAACCCAACAACTTCCAGGGCCCATCCATGATTTAGAAGCCCTTGAGCCAATCCCCTTCTTTGAAGTCAGACAGACCTTAGTCTGAGGACTGACTGTCATTTTACAGCTATGAGTCATCGGGCAAGTTGTTTAGCCTTTCCGAGCCTCAGTTTATTCTTCTGCAAAAAATAAGAATAACAACCCTGCTTTAGAGGGTTGTTGTTAGGATTAAAGTACTTAGCCCCGGGCCTGACACAGCGCTCAGCGAATGAGAGATGCTACCATTGGCATGTCCACTGGCACTGAGGGTTTCTGCTCAGCATAAGACCTTCAGACACCACTCAAATCTCACCATCAAAGGAATACACTCAGCCTCTCGCACTGACCTTGGAAAGAACTGTAACAAGCATTTTAGTGAGCTCTTCAACCAGGGTTCAAGTGGAAAAGGTTTCCGGCTTGACTCCAGCCAAGAGACTCCATCACTAGGAAAGCCTGAGGATCCCAGACAACCAATTTCCTCTATGAAAGAGGCCCACAGAAGAGTTTAAAGACCCATTTTCTGCTTTTTGTATGAAAATAGCTCCAGAAGCTGACTCGATGAAGACCCTCTCCTGTCACTAAACTCAGCTCTTGTGGCCATCATGCTTAGAACCTCATACACAGGAAGCCCCGGGAGGGCTGGGGGCAGCAGACAGCAGAAGGTGGGAGCCAAATACTTGGGCTTTGGGGCCACAGACCTGGGTTCAAATCTGCATTTCACCTGCTAAACATGAGACTTTGGGCAAGATGCTTGGCCTTCATCTGGCTTAGTTTCCTCAGCACTAAATTGGGTTGAGAATCTCCCTCATTGAATGGTAAGGAAAAATAAAGCACTTAGCAGGGACCCAGAACCGCCTGAACCCCAAATAAATGAGAGCTACGGTTCTTAACACTGAGAGCAAGCAGGTCCGGCAGTCATTTTGATCATTTTGTTAATAATGACCTCAGAAATATCCCCTGTGCCCTGAATCCTTTGTTCCTACTGTGCTGCCCTGAAACCAGCCCCAAGAGCAGCATGTGAGTCCCTATAAACTCCACCCTGTTCAGAAGGGCGATGTTGCCACGCTCCCAGTGCCGCCTTCGCCACTTCCAGACCCCTCCATCCTACCCGCTAATCCCATCATTGCAGTGGGGCATCTCAGCTGATGTCATGACTCTCCACTCCCTCCCTCTCTCATTAAAGGTCTTCAAAATGCACGGCATGTTTGTAAGCTGCTCAGCACTCCTTTGGAAGGATGACACACAATTCTTATAAAAGTGGACAACAGAAGCAACAAAAGATGGGCACCATCTCGTTTTTTTTTTTAAAGCACTATGTAGACATATCTGATTTGGAAGTCCGTTTAAATCCGGTTTCTTTCTTACCCTTTTTTGCTTTTCTTGTAAAGCTTTGTTATCTTCTCCACGGGGAGTCCATATTTCTCAGATATCTGCAACCAACAACAAAAAGGCAGATGAGAGTGGAAGGGGAGCCAAGCAGAGGCAGGAGAGAAAGTTCCAAGTTCACTGTCCTGGAGCTTCTCCGGGGTGCCAGCGGCCTTCACTCAGGAGTCAGACTCTCAAAATGGCTGTCCCTTTGGACAAACCACAAATCAGTCAACAAAAGATTCAGCCACACGGGAATTTAATCTATGATGAAGCTGTCATTTCAGCCAGGAAAAAATGGACTCTGATCATGACGTTGGATTAAATAGATGGTCATACAGAAAGTAACACATTAAGCCGGGTCCCTGCCCCACTCCATACATCAGAATAAATCACATCAAAGGTTTACACATGAAAGATGAAACCACACAAGAGGAAGCCGTGGGTCAATTCTTTGTATCGACATCATCTTTCAGTAAGGAGGCTTTTTCCAAGCAAGATCTGAAACCTGAAGAAAAAAAGGTCAAAAGGTGGATAAAACAGTACAGAATTTAAAAGAGCAGAAGAGCAAAAACAACCCCCAAAAGGCTGAAGACAAATAATGCACTGGGAAACCGTTTTGGAACACAAAAGACAGACATGGAACTAACTTCCTTAAGTTAGGGGAAAACTCCTACAGATCAAGAAGGAGACGCACGTGCTCGCGTCTGCAGCACGCACACTAACACTGGGGCGCTGCAGAGAAGCACAGCGCGGGCCCTGCACGAGGATGACATGCAGATCCGTGAATTCCACATTTTTAAACATAAATGAATTTACTTACAAAGCAGAAACAGACTCACAAACATAGTAAACCGAACTTAGGGTTACTGGTGGGGGAAAGGAGTGGAAAGGGATAAATTGGGTGTTGGAGATGTGCTATGTATAAAACAGGTAAAAAATAGACTTCTTTTGTACAGCACAGGGAACTGTGTTCAGCATCGTGCAGTAACCTATAGTGAAAATGGACATGAAAATAATTGCAGGTGTGGCGGAAGCATCATGCTGTGCACTAGAAACTGTGCTTCAATTAAAAAAAAAAACGAAGAAGAATGGCACCTGAGAAATGCTTTTCACTCAACCGTCCCATTTGAGGAAAATATTCACAGAAGAACTCTAGCTAAACAGAAAATGCATCAGAACAAAGACTCCAACTAGGCAAGGCGGGTGGGGGGGACAAGAACCAGCTTTGCGGCATAAACAAACACACACACACACACACACACACACACACACACACACACGGAGAGAGACACTACTATACGCTCTTCATATGTATCTAGATACTTAGTTTTTTGGTTGTTTCATCTCCTGGTTTATTAACAAGCCACAGGCCACACAGGTGACAGAGGTAGTCACATTCCTCTAATACTTCAGCTTTAAAAGTATGACTACCATAACCCAGCTATATCCGCCAGCATATTCCTTCCCAGAGTCTGCGTTTTCAGGGTTACTGAAGTCTCACACAACCAGGAGCTAAGAGTCCATATTCATTTCCAGATCAGAAAATGCTTTATTCCTCCAAGTCACTTTAGCATCACTATCAATACACATATGGTAAAAGCAGGTTGTTTTTGCAAAAAGTTTCCCTGTAAAATCTATACACGCCTATAGTTATATAGCTACATACAATGCTTCCTCTGTCTATATACACAGACATAGATGGTCTATCTATAGGCACATATAGTTATAGGTGTCTGTAACTGTGTACAGTTAAATGGATTGGGAATGTGAAATAAGTGCTAAATAAGGATTCTTGAAGTAAAAAGAACGTAACGGAAGGAAAAATCTAATCATTTCCTAGAAAGAGCATATTAAACTATTTCGGTAGCATCCAGAAGCCTGGAGTTGTGGGGACAGTGTGGGGTAAATGTTACGGTGGCCTCACCCTAGCGAGCACAGGAGGGGAGGGACCGGAAGCTCAAAAAGTCTCTTCTTCCCCGGGGGGTGGGGGGTGAGGGGAGGTAGAGCGTACTGGTGGGGAAGGTGGCTGGAACTGTTATTTTCAAATCACAGAGCACTAAGAGGAGACTGAAACAATTTAGGAAAAGTAAAGAATGACTCAGAAGAAAAGGTGAAAACCAGAGACAAACTGCAACACCAGAGCGAAAGAGGAAAGCACAAAGTGAAAAAAGTAATGAAGAGTTTATCGTTGTGAATTGCTTGGCTTGCAAGAGTTGGGTTTTGAACTTGAGCGTCATTTGGAACTTCTTTTTAAAATGAAATGGAAAAATAAAATAAAATACGTTCCTTTTTTCCACTCAACGTCAGCCAGCTCCTATCTGTTAGTTCCCCTTTTCTGAAAGAGAAGGAAGTCTGATTCTGGGAGCTTCTCCTTTCAGGGGTGTGATTCCCAGTTTCCCAAGGCATGAACGCACGGCTCACAACTCGGCTGGTAACAGTCAGAACTGGGAGATTTGCATAACCCCGCATAATTCCACTTTTGACTTGGGTCCTCTGGGAGCCCAGGCAGCAGCCAGCATTTGCTGACTGCTTACTAAGAGCTTCACGTATCGACAAAGGGAGCTTTGGATCTATTAAGTTGCTGAATCCTTGCATCATTACAACGGAACAGGTGCTTTCATGAAACCTGTTTCTCAGGCGAGGAAACTTGGGCTTATAGTCATTAAGTAACTTGCCCAGGGTTCTTCAGCTAGGAGGAGGCAGAGACAGGATTTGAAAGCTCACAGCCTGGCAGTCTGGTTTCGGATTCTGAAGCGCGAGAGAAAATGGGCACATGTTGGGACTGTTCGGAGTGGGGCTCATGGACTCCATCCAGGACCAAGAAGCAACTGGCAAAATTGACACCTGTGCACCTGGCTGTCGCAGGCAAGTTTCCAGGAGGGCAAAGTCCTGCCCTCAGTGCAATCATCAAAGGCAAAGGCAGCTCGATAATATGCCACCCTGACACGGTGTCCCCTGCCTCCATGCCAGGCAAGGAAGTGTGCTTTGCCAAATTCAGAAGCCTGGAAAGAAGTGCAGGATGTCATGTGGAGGAAGCTTGCCCGTCTGTCGGGGGTTACAGAAGCAACCCATTGCCCGGGAGCTGGATGATAGCACCCAGACAGCCCTCCGCTCCCACGTGCGTGGAAAGCACGTGCCACGTGACAGTTCTCAGGACGGGCGCGGTAGGAGTGCTTGTTTTTCCTTTGTGTTTCTTAAGTTGTCTGAACTGACTGTACACTTACATCATTTTTAAAAGCCCATGACTAATATTTTGAAGGACCCCAAAGACCTCCTTGACAGCCAAGAGGACACTAGGTCCTGGACATATCTCATCAAGGTGTTACTGGTTGCCTGATGATCAGCAGCTTTTAGACTTTTACACTTTTACTTTGTGGGGAATTCTCTCTGCCCAGAAGCGTCAGGTATGTGACAGGCAGAACTCAGAGTTTCCCACTGGTTTCCACCAATGCAGGACTCTGTCTGCCTGATCTAGAGGCATCCAACTGAATTGCTGGCTCTGCACGCCAGTGACTTGGATCTGGAGTTACAAACTGTTCAGCGTGGGCTCCAAGATGCACATTTGATAAAAGGAGGGGACTCGTGCTTGCAAATACTTCCTAGATGGCTGCCCATGACCTGTCAACAGCATCAGGAGGACAGGCCTTCATCTCCTTTCATCTCCATGTGTGGACGGCTCAGCTGCACAGAGAGGGTGCTACCTGGGCCGTGAGCCGCCTTTCCCGGCGCACCTCCGCCAGCCTCGCCGGGAGAGAACACCCTTTCTCTAGCCCCTCTGGCTCGGAGGAAGCTCAGTCTGCCTCCCCACCCCCTGGCTCTTACAGTCGTCTACTATACGCACAGCCATTCAGAGAGTGCTTCTATGTGCTACTTTAAGCACCTTGTATATGAATTTAATTTAATCCTCGCAACAACGCTACATATTATTTTATCATTATCTTCATAATAATACCCAGATTCTTATTCTTCTCATTTCAGAAATGATGTGCCTGGGGTATAGAGAGGCTGAGTAACGTGCCTAGGGTCACACTACTCTGAAGTGTCAGAGCCAGGATTTGAACACCGACCGTGTGGGATCAACCACTGCACACACTGCTTCTTGCCTGATGGCTGACCGTTGCCTAAGCTTCTCTCCTTTCATTGTTGTGAGCTGTGACTTGGAGTGTTTACTCTTCTTGTAATAACTTTTCATGTGTGGACAGCTCTCTAAGTGGACTTAAGCTGTTCAAGGGCTTAAGTTGGCTCTGCCAGTCTGTAAGCCCCCACTCTGAGCCTCCATCCCGCATCTGTAAGTGATGATGATGACATCTGACCTGCCAAGTTCACAGAGATATTGCGAGGGTCAAAGGAAGCAATGCATGTGAAACAGGTGTCACCCATGGCGCTCAGCGTGGTGACGCATACACAGTGGGTGCTCGATGCAGTCAAAGAGTTATGCTCAAAGACCTGAGGGTGCATGGCAGACAGCAAGAGACAAAGCCCCCACGCTCATGAACTTTCCATTCTATCGGGGAAGAGAGAAACAATGAACATCCAGCAAGTGTTAAATATGTCAGGTGGTGATAAATGCTACGAGGGAAAACAAGGCAGGATGAGGGACTAGTGACAAGGATGCCCTTGTCTGGGAAGGCCATCTGAGAAAGGGACATGTGAGCAGAGGTCAGAAGGAAGGAAGTGGGCCTTGCAGACATGGAGAAGAGCACTCCTGGCGGGATGGACAACAAATGCAAAGGCCCTGAGGTATGAGTTGCCTTGGTGGGCTCAAGGATAGCAAGGGGGCTACAAGAACTAGAGATTCTTTATTTATTTTTTTATTTTTTAGAGCCCTTTGTTTGTGGATTACTAGGTAAATTCACCCAAAAATGCCAAAAAAAAAATTGAAATCTCACGTCACCTCCACTATCATCATCATCACCATCACCAAATTCTAATGTATAATCAAGTTTAAAATCTAATTATAAGAATAAAGAAGCCAACGTGGATCATCGAAGTTACATGGAAGGATTGACTGACAGGATATGAAACATGCAGATGAAAGAGAAACATTCTACTTGATCCAAGTGACATTGGGTATGGGAATTTTCAATAAGATCTGGCTGAGAGAGGACTTTCTATCTTTTTCTATGTAAGTATCTAGATGTGTATGGATAATGCCTTCCTGACGTGTGAAGTAAAGGTCCGGGAGGCTCAGGACCCATGAATAAGAGAATCGTCTAGTCTGTCTTACAGAAAAGTGACCGAGTTCAGCACAGACTACCCTGAATCCATTCCTTTTCGTGGTGGTCAAAGAGTTCTTTCTAAGACAGCGAGTGGTTGAGGGCTGTACAAACAAAACAATTCCTCAAGGTGGGCACCGTCCACACTCTGCAGGGGAGGAAACCAAAGATGCCGCGGTGGACATGCCCGAGGCCGCACAGCCATGATCCGAGCCCCAGTCAGTCGTTTCCCAGCCCACCTTCCTTTGCCGGGGCTGACGCGGGCGTGCTCTCAAAGGGACTGTGACCTTGGTCTCACGGGGACTTCATTAATTAAGGCAAGCTAGTAATATCATCGCAAGGGAGAGCATAGCGTCTGCTGAGCATAAAAACAACTCAGTTTCTAGACAGCGGAACTACTCATTCTATCCAGTGACCTGCCTGGCTGACACGTGCACAGGCTGCAGCGACACCGTCACCGTCTCCAGATGCTCTACAAGCCTGCCTGACACGGCTCCTTCCGATTCAGACCTCGGTTCCCGTCTGAAGGAAGGGCGGCAGTGCTGTTCTGTCCTGTCTCCACGACACATCGACATTTCTCCA